TACACAAGGAGATCCTCACCATAAACAGGAAAGACTTAATACAAGGGGAGCAAGAAAACTTTCAGTCTAGAACAAACATGTTACTGACTAAGTAAGCTAGAATCAATTGAGGGATACGTTACCCTGCTTGCCAAAATAATTTTTCAGTTGAGCCTTTTCCTTCTGAGCACTTCACAGGAAGTAAGGGGCAGATGACATAGGTCAACCAACGCAATTTTCTCATGGTCATTTTAAAGATGCCTCATCAAAACATAACATCTTAAAACCTACATCTTTCTGTTCAGCCAGATGAATCAGGTGCACTAAAGCAGTTCTCTCACAAAAATTTTTTCCTTTTTTTGCCAAAACAGTGAGTAAGGATTCACTAAAAGTTTTCATGCATAAAAGGAAAAGCAGCACAACATATCTTTATGGATGGTAAGAGCTGATAACTAAGAACTGTGAAGCAAAAACACAGCCAGTACTCAGCACTAAAACCAAAAAATCAAACAACAAAAAGCAAGAGACTTGCATTTAGAAATATGAACCCAATTAAGATACAAGATAAACCAAAGAAAAGGGCATTGTAATTTCAGACTGTTACTCCACACCAACTGTGACTAAGGAGCTGATTAAAGTGATTCAGTGAAATCTACGTTTGTCCAGCAGAAAGCTGTCACATTCAGAGTATTTTTACTTCTGAGAGGTAAACAGAAGATCACTCATCAGTAAGGTTACCTGTTTTGTGTTTTGATAACCAGGTGAACAGTGAGTCCATCATGAATTCCATGCTGAGTCAAAGTATCTTGATCTTTTAAAATTTTTCCAGCAAATATCAACACAAGCTGATCAGTGTGGGACTTGAAACGCTTAGAGATCTCTTCCTTGAACTAAACAAAAAAGTTAGTATTACACATTTGTGTGTTTGGATACTGAACTATAAACTTTTCATTATTTAAGGACAAGCTATTTTGTTCACATTTAATGTACTACCCCATTCGCACTGCACATTCTGCTTTACACAATCTAGAAATACTTTTATGTTTTCTCTTTTTTCTTGTCCACAGGAAGAAATATTTATTTTCTGTACAATAAAAATCATTAGTTTCATGTCTAGATCACTAGTTATGTAACCAGTAATAACAAAAATCTGATTCCACTTAAAGACTACTGTGGCTTCAGTCAGGCATGCATCCATGATATTAAATACATACTAGTATATATATCACTTATATATACACATATATATACACTGTAAAGTATTTATGTAATTATATACTAATAAGTATACACTAAAATATACATATATACACACACAGACATACACATAGGCCACTGAAGCCATCCATTGCTGAAAGACTGAGGATGTAATGTCACAAGTGCAATAAATCTGTCGATGCTTTTGCTGGAACTGAACAAAGAAGTATGCTCTCTTCTTAAGATGTATTTTTGCTACCTTCCATGTGTCAAAACTAGCACCTCTTTCCACACAGGCAAAGGTTACTTCTCAGGCAGCTCTGGTTTGTCATTCAACACATGACATAGCTACCTGAAATATACTTTCAGCCCAGGGCACGGTGAACAGCTACATCCTTCAGCTGGCCAGGAAAATCATACCCTCATTTAAAAAACTGAACATGCAAGCCCACTGTATACCTTCTTGCCTTCCTAGCCAATAACCACCAGGTTATGCTTTGACTGGGTTCTGACTGAGATCTATTCTCTACAAAAATGCCCTCACTGAAAACAAAAAAAAAAAAATCACAAAACTTAAAAAGGAACACATCCAAGAAAAATACTAAGAAATGACTTGATTATAAGAAAGCCAGATACATTTATTCAACAAGACTAGTTAGTAGGCTAAGTATTTTTAAAAGGATGGTAGGTAGTTAGGAAGTCCTTCAGAAGTTCACCCTATTTAACATTTTAACACTAAGCTGACCATGCCACTTTAAAAAACATCCTAAAGATCCTAAGGAATTCTCACTCCATATACGAAAATAAAGTACTAATCTTGCAATTAGTTATTAATAATTACATTTTATAACACACAGGTCTAAAAAAGTAAAATCCCCCTGTATTATACTTTGAAGGTGGGTCTTTAAAGTTTATAGTTTAGGAAGAGAAAAAAAATGTTGATTAAAAAAGAGATAGTCTGAGACACAACAGAGGTAAAAGGTCTCTGTGTTTGGGTAGGAAGCTGCTCCTCGTTAGTTAAAAGTCTACTCACACAGTTCGTTCCAGTTCTTGGGGAAATTACTTTTAAGTCAGCCTTTATACTGGCAATATTTAGACTTCCAAGTATTCCAGAAAGTCACTCAGTCCATTCCTTCCCAAACTTATCTAAATTATTCCTGACATGTTTATCTAGTCTGTTCTCTGAGGTCCCCAGCAACTCTTTTCCAAGAAACCTACTCACTATCCAATGTTGTCGTTGTCTTGCCCACAATGGACAACATACTGTTTTCTCCTTAGAATAAAGGGTTGCAGTAAGGCTAGTCTTTCCTTGAGGGCTGTTTTTTCTAATCCAATCATTACCACCACTCTTTGGATTTTCAAATCCCATCACATCACTGTGTAAGCATGGGGCTCAAAACTGGCCAAAATATTCCATACCAGTTTTAATCTATACTTAGTGGAACAACAGGATAAATCCCACAACCTTCAAGCTATATTTGAGAAATCCATGTGGGAAAATACTCATGTAACAGTGCTGACTTATTCAACAGGTATAAACTCTAGACCCTTTTCTGCAGAGCAAGTATTCAGGCATTCTTCTGGTTAATTATTCTTAATACACATTCCAAAGTAACACAAAAAACAGCAGAAATACTCCCAATTTGGTACAGTGCTAATGCATAAGAATAAAGAACTACCATATTGTGCCAAACCAAAGAGTAATGTCATTTACCCAAACCCATTTATTATCATATTTTCCAAGATGTTGTAACAGTGAGATCCACAACCTAATACTAATCAGAAGGCTGATGCTGTAGTATAACCTTACTCATAGAATCACAGAGTATCTCAGGTCGTTAAGGGACTCATAAAGATGATCGAGTCCAACTCCCTGCTCCTTGCAGGACTACCTAAAACTAAATTATATGACTAAAAGCATAATTCAGATACTCCTTGAAATCTGACAGGCTTGGTGCCATGACCACTTCCCTGGGAAGCCTGTTCCAGTGACCGACCAGCCTCTCAATAAAGAGTCTTCTCCTAATGTCCAACCTAAACTTCCTCTGATGCAGCTTCATTCCATTTTCTTGTGACCTATCGCTGGTCACCAGAGAGAGGAGATCAGCACCTCCCACTCCACTGCTCCTCTTGAAGAAGCTGCAGAGAGCCAGGAGGGCACCCATCAGCCTTCTCTTCTCCGAGCTGAACAAACCAAATGACCTCAGCCATTCCTCAGAAGCCTCTCCCTTAAGAGCTTTCCCCATCTTGGTCATCCTCCTCTAGACACACTCTAATAGTTTGATGTCTTTCTTCAAATTACTTATCTTAAACCACGCCCTGTCAGATATTTCTAGAAGCTTCTATTTACCCATAAGGTCAAGGAAGCAAAATGCCATTTATAGAAGGTAACCAAACAGTATCTAACATACCAGTAGTATATGGGCATCAAAGGCTATACACTTCCTTTTCCCTACTTCCATGTAATGCTATTTAGATGATCTGCAAAAACAACACTACAGGAAGACATGAATGTAACAGTCAATGATCAGGACCCCCAAAACAACCTCTACAGCAACATCCATGCATGATTCAAATGCACAATAGATATCTCTCTAGGCACAATAATAAAACTGTCAAGAATAGTGAGCCAATTTTGGCTGAGGCATATTTACATAAAAAGATGAACACATCTAACTGAGATACAAAAAGGTCAGGTCTTTTCATCAGCTTCACTTGCATTCAGCACAACCTTGGGACTTCTTTGGGACAATGTATAAGCAGGACGAAGCCCTTTGAATCTTCTTTCACAAAAGACTACCACATAAAACCTAGGTGACCATGCAAGATATTCTACAAATGACACTGCTGAATAGTGTTAACAGGCAAAGATACCATCAATAACAGATCAGGTCTGCACACTTTTTTTTTTTTTTTTTTGGCTGAGGCAGGGCAAAAAGAATCAACTATACACTTGTAAAACTGAATCACAAAACCATTTTCAATATTACTTTTTTTTTTGTCAGCATCTGATGTGATGCTTCTGGGGTAGAAAAACAATATTTAAAAATCAAAAGACGAGGAAGTCAGTCTTCAGCATCAGCTGATCTCTGATGATACCAGAAGACTATCAGCCTTAGGTCAGAGTTTGGCACAAGTCACTACTGTTCTCATTGTGAAGTAAAGACAAGGAGGGTGGAAGAAAAGGCTCTTTACCATCCTCTGGAGGCAAACACCAATCTTCAGTATTCTGTCTCTTATTGTTCATGATAGCTGAACTCCAAGACCATTCCCCCACAGTAAAGGTGAAAATCCACAAGTTTCTTTAAATTCAGACAGTGAAAGGACAAGAGAAATGACTGGCAATTGCATTCTTACTCCCACAGACCTTATCTTTGTATTTGTAGTTTTCATAGGACTCCCCAATACTCTTACTGGCAACAAATAATTTCGGGGATAAGGTGCTACAGTAATGAAACACAGCAAAAAAAAGTGAAGACAGCTATCTCTAAATTCTAAATTCTCTAATATCTAAATTCTTTTCCCTAAACAGAACCATAAATTGTCAATCTAGTATATATAGCTGCAGAGGCTCAAATTAAACATACACAATCGACATCAGAGGGAATAAAGGAAATGAGATTATGATGGAAATTAATATATACTTATGCAGTTGTAAGAAAACAAACTTTGATATTGTTTAAATCTTCAGTTTGTGCAGCCGAACTAAATAACACTATCAGTAAATTACAGTTAAAATACTTTGTCACCTGGGCAAACCAAAAGCAGAAGGAGCATCGACTCTTCCTTCTTAACATGTAACACCCCAAGTAATGATTTCAGCTGATTCGCTTTCCTGTTCTAAAATACAAGTTTTATTTCATTGTAATAATACTCAGCACACAAAAGTGTTCAGTTATATCTGAGCATAGAAAAGGACCTGAAGTTGTAAAAACAATGTTGTGCCATACCTAACACCTAGTGTAAGCACAGACACTACTTCACTGTACTCCTCTAGTAACTGAATACAAGAAAAATAATGTAAAATTATGTCAATTTTAGACATAATGGTTAGACAAATCAGTGGAGAGAAACACAATGGGAATCAGACTGAAACAAAAAACTAGTATCTAGACAGAGGCCTAGCTTCCCAAGGGAGAAAAGGAGAAAGTATTCTTAACCAGAGTGAACTAACTCAAGTTCATGTCCTCCTCAAAGCATGGCAACTTGTAGATTTGACATAAACTAGAGCAAATCTAAAGCTAGTCTTGTTGAAGCACCTTGCCCACATTACTGTTTTAGAATCATAGAATCACAGAACGGTTTGGGTTGGAAAGGACCTTAAAGATCATTTAATTCCAACCCCCCTGCCATGGGCAGGGACACCCTCCACTAGACCAGGCTGCTCAAAGCCTCATCCAGCCTGGCCTTGAACACCTCCAGGGATGGGGCATCCACATTATTTCAAGTTAACTTGTTTCTAGCAACCGCGTTTTAAAAACAGGACAGGAACAGTGTAATTTTTCACACTGAGAATATTGATCTTTTTTAGCAGCATAGCAGCACACCAGCACTTCTTGTTTACACTCTCAATTACCATAGCAAAAATCCTCATTCACACAACTTTAAAAAACTCAGCCCAATACTTTGCTAACAAAACTTGTCTTTTTTGTTCAATGTTAACACAAAGGCTCCATGAAGCAACTTAGGACTTCTATTACAACTGCTCAACTTGATTGCCTCTGAAGGTTTTCGCAAGGTATGGGTGGACACCGCAGCACTGATCCCCAGCGCTGAACAAAAGCATACTCATACCTGAGGTAGTCAAAGTAAACATTTGGTCACTGAACAAAGCAAATGTCTGAATGCACATGAAGTAGAACAGCTGACTAAAACAGAGACTATTTTGCACTGTTACTTTGCAGAGCAGATCTATACTTTAAACATTAACCTATTAACATCTGACCATCTGCAAAATTGGCCTAGGAAGGGCCTGGTTATTCCAGGCAAAGTAAATACTGTAACATGCACACTGTCCTTTGATATGTTACCACCATATAATGATTCAAGAGCTTTTTCTGACTCCCTCTGACATCAAAACCAGCAATCCTAATAACATCACTATCCATTCACAAAGTGCTCTGAGAAGGGAATAAAAAGAGGAAAACTAATAAATGACAAATACCTTCCCAAATCCTCTCCACTTTGGCTTAATAAGACATATTTAAAACTTACATTACAGGAACAGCCTGAAAGAGGCCTCAGGGAATTCACATCCTATTCCCACTGAAAAGTAACAAAAACCAGGCCCCTAAAAACTGCAACTGTTTTGAAAATACTAAGCTGCAACTTTATCTAGATGACAATAAAAAAGCAAAGTTGCTGACTCTTTCCACACCAAACTCTGTTTCAAACACAGTAGTGGATGACACGGAAGCAAAGGTTTGCACCTAGGGGGCTGAACTGCAGTTTGCGTTCTCAGCAATGCCTCAAACGGTTCTACTACAAAGAAAGATTTTAAAATCACATTACCTTGTTCAGCACTGCTGTTTCAAAACACACCCATGATCATTTAAACTTTCAACTGCCATTCATACTGACATACACAGTTAAGTATTAGCAGGACTCTAGTCTCTCTTACACCCACATACAGCAGTTTCAACAGAGGTTAACTTTGACGAGCTCCAGCTTTCTTTTATACAACAGAATTAATGGCTACAGGTCACCTTGACCCAAGAAGTAAGGAACCAAACACGCTCATGGCAATACAACCGCTGATAGCTGTGGTGTCCTTTCCTGGTGAATCATACCTGGCAATCTTATGACTGTCAATTAAAGTGAGTCAGTGAAAATAGGGTTTCTTTGCACAATTCTTGGACACTATACAGGAAGGGGGACAAGAAACAGTGGTTTCAAGCAGGAAAGCACTTCTGGCCCACAGGTTCACAGTCTGCAGCAGATAAAGCATAGCTAGAAAGCACACTCAAAATTAGGCTTCCACATAAACCTATTCTGTCTTTCATGACTCAATGGAGGTAACTCTCTTCCTCTGCCCTTGCCAATGACCTGTGCTACTTGGAAAACCAAATTATTTCCTCAAATCTCTGCAACCAAACCAAACTCACAAAAAACTCACCTCAAGAAACAAATTCAGACTCTCTATGAGCTTACAAGGCTAGTAGCCCATGAAAACTGCAGCAGTGCAACCTGGTGGAAAGGGCTCAGGACTTGTGTTCTAGCCAGCTCTATCCTTTCCAGGCATCCTACAGCAAGCCACTCCATTCCTCTGTGCTTTGACTTAAGATAAATGGTTAGCAATTACTTCCCTTCTCCATAAAAGTACTTTGCAGTCTACTGATCAAAAGCTGTACTTGCAAAAGAATGAGCCTGTTCTCTAGCAAGTCACTAAGAATGGAAAAGGGCATAAAAGGATTATGTATAAAATGGAATTCTTGCAGTAGAGTTCCTTTTTGAGAATCTACCCTATACTTTCTTTTTCACAAGACAACATAAGATAGTTTATCCTTCAAGTTAACTGGGAGAAGCTTGGATAATATCCCTTTTTCCTAAGGAAACACCGAGATATGACTTACTGCTGACAGAAGAATCCCTTCTCATCAAACCATCTTTAAAGTGTTTGGCTTTAGCAAGTTTTAAATTGAAGGTGATACAGCATATAATAATGAGCGGACAACAGACACAATGGCTAACATTCTTTTTAGCCTGCCAGGGGTAGGGAACAATTAACCCCATTAACAACAAGAAGTCTAATTTTAAGTGTTTTTCTCCGTGTCACCACGTAATTCCCAATTCTTAAGATTTTGACCTAACCTTACTCCCAGGCAATGACCCTCCTTATATAGCCAACACTTGTAGTCACTAGACTGAGAAGTTGACTGGACTCTAAAATAAATACGTAGAATATCTTACCAGGACAACTCTACCACAGCTGTTCATTCACAAGGGTTTTCTCCGCTGTTGGCAATTTTAAATAGTACACAGGACAATCTTTAAAAATTATGTGACACCCCTGACCCATGACTGAGGGTGAAGCATACTAGCAAAACAAACCCACAGTAAATCACAGGAGAAAGGAAGGCCCTATCTGTCATGGATAAAGTTTAAAAAGGATTGAAATATAAAAATGAACCTGTCACTTTGCAGAAAAGCACCTGCACACAAGCCACTTCACAGTATTATTTGAACAGGTTTTCTTATTTTACTAGATTATTTATCAGAAAACACTAAGTACCATAGTTAGATAACG